TCAAGTGAGGCTGTGCCTCACTTGCCTCACCCGGCGAGCCGCCACTGGTCAACACTCAACAGCCATCGGCTAATAGTAGAATTTTAAATTCTATAACCGTATACTGCCCTGTATTTTTTTATTTCATTGGTTTAAAGTAATTATTTAAAAAAACAATATGTCAGGAGATAAATGTGTCTATTTTGACTGTAATTTGACAAGAAGGTCATCGAAAAATATTTTTCATCCATTCCCAGCCAATATTGAATTACACAAACAATGGATAATTAATTCAGGTAAGTATTTAAATTAAAAATAGTTATAAAATTATAAACCAAGAGTATTGTATCATTTATTTACATAATCCAGGCAACATAGACTTAGAAGGAATGAGTCCAAAAAAATTAAGGAAAAAATATATTTGTTCGAATCATTTCCATACTGCTATGTATATGAATTCGACATCTATAAAACCACGGTTAATTAAAAATGCATTACCGATAAAATATAAAATTGGTAAATATTAAATACATAGTTTAAATTATAAATTTAAATAATAAATTCAGTAATTGTGAACACATATTTTTATTTTACAGATGCGAATAGAAATGTTGATACTCTGCTGAACACTACACCGACTAAAAACAAAAAATCAACGGCAATATTTTCAGGTAAAATAATAATAATTAATAAACATATTACAATTGTATTGTGCTTTATTTGGTTAATATACTTTCATAGCCAAAAAAAAAGAAGGTACTGCTCTGCAGGACAATTGGTTACTATTATTTATGTGTTTAAATTGAATCATTTGAATCCAATGATAGGTATCATTGTACACGAAAAACGATTCTGAACGGAGATGATTTCAGATTTGTCAGCCTAGCCGCCTAGGATATATATTTTAATAAATTAGGTAGTGAAAAGGGTAGCTTTTGTTTTAATTACCATAATTAAATCATGTAAAGAAAATTTCAATTTAAATAACTGGTGAAATTTTCAACTATCTTCGACTTAAATTTTTTGAATAATAACAAAATATACCTACTTAAAATCGTTTGAGGATAAATCGTTATCGTTAAGCGATTTTGTAAAAATTAAATATTCAGACGCTCATAACATTTTAGATTCTGAACGAAGTGAAGAATGTATTGATTTTACAATGGTGTGTGTTTTTTTTTTTTTTTTTTTTTGTTTTTGTGTCTGTGTACAGCATAACTAGTCGAAATAATGCTCCAATTTCAAACAATGGGGGTGGTTTCCGATGTTAAAGTGAATATCCTTGGTGCATTATAGAGGTAAAAAGTTAACATTTTCCAACAGTTTTCAAAAAAATCGAGAAAAACAAAAAAAAAAATGACGGAAAAACGGCAATTTTTACGCAAAACCAGTTTTCGACCAAATCGATTTTTTTTATGGTTGTAATTCAAAACTAATCATTGAGAATACTTGAAATTTTCACCAAATGTTAATGTCAGTGGTATCTGTATATAGTTAAATTTTCAAAAAATTTTGACTTTTTTTGAGTTATTTATAGACCACTGAAATTTTCGATTTTTTTGAGAAATTTTTTTTAAAGTGTCGATAAAAAATTTTTGGATGACCAAAAAGTTTTGAAAATTTAATACAAGGTTCCTTATGAGTTGTTTTTATTGTAGCTAAAAAAAATTAAAAATCGTTAGTCACAATTTTTTTTTATAAGAGTTTATAGTTCAAATTTTTACGAAATCTGTCGAAAACGCGAAAATTTGCAAGTAATTTTGAAGTTGAAAAATCATAAATTTTTTTTCTTTTATAACTAAGTTTTGAAAATTTGGTACAAGGTTCTCCATACATTTTTCTTCAAATATCTGTAAAAAAAACTTTACCGGATTCAGACAAAAAATTTTTATGAGTGTTTGAAATTTAAATTTTTACAAAACCGCGCTAAATAACGGTTTAGCCTCAAACGATTTTTGATATTTGTTATAATTCAAAAAGTATAAGTCGTAGATAATTGAAAATTTTACCAGTTATTTAGATTGGCATTTTATTTACTTGATTTAATTTTCAAAATATTTTGAGTTTTTTTGAGCTATTTATACACTCTTATAAATCATAAATGTGACTTTCCGGTAAATATTTGTTTTTTCTTCAAAACATCAATTTATTTATCTCTTCGTTCAGAATTGAAAATTATTTTAATATTTTAATTAGTATACACACTAAAATATTATTATTTTCAAATAATGACTATTTACTACATTTGATAATTATTTTTAAAGTATACGTAGGTACATAAATATTCATTTATTTTTGTAGATACTTTTACTCAAAATTGTAATACACCTTCACCAAAAGTATTGCATGTACTGACACCGAAACGTCAATACCAGACAGAAATAGTGCACACTCCAACTTCAGAATTAATATTCAATGATAGCCCAAAGTTAGAAATTACACCTAATACAAAATCCTATGTATCGGAACTTACTCAATTACCAAGTCCTATTAAAAAGCCTAAAATTATCAATTCTTTAACAAGTCCAACAAAAATCATTAAAAGAAATCTAATACTTCAAGAAAAATTAAATAATCTAAGAAGACAATTAAAACGAAAACGATCCATAATTCAGTATTTAAAAAAACAAAACAATAAAAATATTTCTAAAAACATTGACATTCAAAAATTTTTTAACCAGTCACAATTTCCTTCCATTAATTCCAAAGCTCTTATGACAATGCAAATGCTACATAACAATCGCAAACCTTGGACTAAGACAGAAAAAAAATTGGCATTATCAATATACTATAAATCTCCTTCAACTTACAAATATATGAGAAAACAAGGTGTTGTATTACCCGGCGAAAGCACAGTGCGGCGATGGTTGAAATCAATAGAATACACTCCGGGATTTATTAATGATTATTTAAATGAAATAAAAACAAAAGTATCTGCTATGTTGTTTACTGATAGGAAATGTGTAATATTACTGGACGAAATGTCAATACTAAAATATATTGAATATAATAAAGCACTTGATATGATAGAAGGATTTGAGGATTTGGGTCCACTAGGCCGTTCATCAAATTATGCAAAACATGCTTTAGTTATCATGGTTAGAGGCCTATATAAAAATTGGAAGTTTCCATTATGTTATTTTTTAAGTGGCAACGGTGTTAGTGGAAATGAACTTGTAAATTTAATAAAACAAAGTGTAAAACAGATTTTAGATATTGGATTACTACCAACAAGTATTGTATGTGACCAGGGGTCACAAAATCGTAAACTATTTTCTTTACTTGGAGGTACTGAACTTAATCCATTATGTACAATTCATGGTCAGTCATTAAACTTAATTTATGATATCCCTCACTTAATTAAAAGTTTGAGAAACAATTTACTCACCGGAGATATACAAATAAAAAATAAAATCATTTCATTCCAAGATATATTTAAAACTTACAATATTGACTCAAAGAGTAATACGGCACGAGGAATGTGTAAAATAACACGAATACATTTAAATCCTAATCCCTTTCAAAAGATGTCATGTAAATTAGCATTACAAATTTTTAGTAACAGTGTCTCCGCTGCAATCAAAACTTGTTTACAGACAGGAGAGTTGAAATCAAAAACTGCAAAAGATACAGCTGATTTTCTTTTAGAAATTAACAATACATTCGATGCATGTAATAGTAAACACCTTTATGATAAGAACCCTTATAGAAAACCAATGAGTGAAAAAAATCAGCATATTTTTGAACAACTTGAAAAAACTATATTGACTTTTCAAAATGCAAAAAAAATTGGTGTTAATAAAAAAATATCGATACCGCCTTGTTTTACCGGAATGATTTGGTCATTAACAGCATTAAAAAATTTGTACACATCCGAGTATTCCGATTTAAAAAGTATTTCTTCACAAGTTGTCAATAAAAAATTCTTTTTACTAACGAATAGATTGAATCAAGATCCCTTGGAGAACATGTTTTCTATAATGCGGCAAAAAAATGGATACACAAAAAACCCTTCAGCAAGAATGTTTCGTAGTTGTTTTGCAAACATATGTTCTTTTTCATTAATGAAAGCATCAGATGAATGTAATTGTGAATTAGATGAAGACGAGTTTTTATCAGTCGGTATACTTGATGATGTAGAAGTTTCAAACACAATTCAAAATTGTACTGAAGATGTGTGTACAAGTGTCGTTGTCAGACATCAACAAGTTCATTTTCGTCGGAGTCCAATGAAGAAAATGTCGGCAATGAAAAATCAACATTAGAAGAATGTTCAATTGTATATTTTTCAGGATACTTGGTAAAACATTGCATTGACCATTTTAAATGTACAGTTTGTATGTCTACTATGTTAACGGCAGAAGAAATCGATGAACCTAACCAAATGTTAATTATGCACAAAACGTTTGCGCATATTGATCTTTTTAATAGTAGCGGGTTAAAAAAACCGTCACTTTTTATAATTAATATTTGTAAAATAGCTTTACAGATATTCGAATCTTTATTTGAGACCATTGAAAGTGAAAGTGGAATAGTAAAAAAAATGATGAAAATATTGTTTGAAAAATTGGAGAAAAAAAACATTAAGCTGGAACAATTGCAATGTAAAGAACATATTATTTATATTATAAAACTATTATTCACTACTCGAATTTACAAAGAATGCAAATGGCTGAAAGAAAAAAGTGTACAAAAATCTTGTAAATCTACGAAACAACAACCTAAATTGAGAATATTACAAAACAAATAATTAATTATAATATACCTATTGTGATAATAAAAAAATGTTTAAGATGTTCTAATATTTATTTAATTATGTTTTCATGACAATATTAGTATATTTTGCATCCGTAAAATGAGTGGGTAAATGTTTGAGAAGACATCGTACTTGCATGTGTTGTCTCTGTCTTTCACACGTACGACATGGTTAATATCCTTCACTAGTTTTAATAGTGTGCTGTTGGTTTTGATATTAGAAAAAATTTTTCTATCATCAAATTTATAGGTAAGAACATTTTCTGTGTTTTCTAAATCGTTTTTTTACGATATTTTAATTATTAGTAGTGACGAGTATGTAAAATATTGTAATTTTAAATTCACTTTAATATCAAAACTAACAGTTACTCAATTAATTAAAACCATTGATTATAAAAACTATTTTTATAATCAATGTTAAAACTGGTGAATGTTTACTACAACGTGCTATTACGTGTGTAAGACAGAGACAACATATGCGGGTACGAGGTCTCAGTTCCTCACTAACAATAACACTGCCGAGCGACTCGGCGAGGACCGGCTGCCGACGTTTAGCAACGATTAAAAATATTATTTTATTCCAAAATAATTGACAACATTCCTTATCGCCCTCTATCGGCAAAAGTTTCTTGCGCAGCGTATTTTGTATTGCAGTGAGCTATCTATACTATTTATAATCAATGGTATTATCTATGACGACGAATGAGATGTTGGTACCTCTGATTTGGTGGCTCTACACTTTGGCGGTGTCGTTTTAAACGCGTAAATAATAAAAGTCTAATTCGAGCGTCTAGTGGTCGGTCATTTCATTAAATTCACAGGTGTAATACACCTTGTCCCGTAGCTTGCCCTGTGCTTTTGTGCATGGAAAATAAATAAATACATTCCGAAATGGTAATTAAATGTCTAGCTATCCTATCAGTGCTTGTCGTTACTCGACTGGGCAATCCGCGTAGCTTGCCCTGTGCTTTTGTACATGGAAAATAAATAAATATACACTCCGAAAGGTTGATCAAGTGTCTAGTTATCAGTCATCTCAGTGAACTATCGGTCCTGAAGGCAATTGCCCCTGCGGCGGATTGTCATCCTCCGACGTCAGGCCGTTGTGCTGTTTAGTACGCAAAAGTTTAAGTCGAATCGATGCGCTCGATTCCAGATCAACATTGAAATCCAATAACGTTTAAAGCCTCGATGAGTGATCCGGATCGCGTCAATCTTTCGCGGACGATGATGAGCGCAAGTGGAGATTTTAAACGTATACTGATGAAAATACATGTCAAACGTTAGGCGAGTCGTGGTATAATAGTGAGACGAAAATCAAAACTATATATATTTAATATTTTTGATACAGCCAATACAATTAATTAATACAAAATTTAAAATCAAAAATGCAAAAATCCGAATACTGGTCAGTTATCTCATTTGGCCGAGTTCGCCGGAACGATGTTCGAACTCCGTGTACTTAACGTCCGGAGAGCTCGTCCCGTAGCTTGTTGCGAAAATGCAATCGAGTGTCTTAGGTATCAGTCTCATCGCGCTATTACGGTGAAAGTCGATTCCTGCAGGCAATCCGGCTCGGCGACTGATTGGTACTGCTTCGTGGTTGCCATATCCAATAAGTGATTAACCACCAGAACAAAATCATAACTCACGCCACTATCTAACTTTAAATTTTTATATTTTATTTGATTAATGTGTAATTACACAAATAATAAATTATATTATGACTATGACATAATTGTGTTCAACTAAAATAATATATTAGTAAATACAAAATATATATACAATTATAAATAAAATAAAATAAATAATATAATGTATGAATAGAGCTTGTATATTATTATTCGGCGTCCGGCACAAAATTCAACGTTTTGTGGATCAAATTTGGATTTAAAAATTATAGTGCTTGATATGCATTTAAAACATTCAAATAAATATTAAAGAATGACACTAAAATTATTAACATGCAAAATAAAATTGAAAATGATATTTATTTAAATTCTTTTTATAAAAGAATTTTAATTTTAATAATACATATTTTTATATATTTTTATGATATATAATAATAGTATGTACTTGGAAGAACTATTGATCAGTTTGGAATGTTATCACGATTAATCAATAATTGCAGTATAGATAATATTCTTTTCAGTTTAAAATAACCTAATTACTGAGGAATGAATTAAATAAATTGTTCAATGTCGTTAGTGATGAACCTATATCGTACCTATCACGCAAAATCAAATATATATTTTCGTTTGCGTATTATATACTTTAGTGGAGTTATATTGTTTTTCTTAATAATATTTCAAAATATGACTATGAATAATAATTAAACCCAAATTAGCAAGAGCAATACGTAACTGAACGAAGTACATCAAG